GAGGAGTGTTGTTAAGGCCATGAGCCTCAGGCTGTCTGAAGGGTTTCTAAAGCTCTTCAGGTGTCCTGGAGAGGGTCAGAGCGTTCTGAAGAGAATCAAGGTGTGTGTGGGAAACGAGGATAAGACAATTCTGACTACTGCTACTAGGGGCCAGCTCCACCTGTGACTTGGGACTCGGTTTAACAGTGGGTATATGACACAATCAGGCTTCCCAGCGGCACCAGTGGTAAAGAACCCACCTCTCAGTGCAGGAAATAAAGGAGACATTGGTTTGTTCTCTGGGTTGGGAAGATCCCCTGGAGGAGGGCAAGGACTCCCAGCCCAGTATTCTTGCCTGGAGAATCCCGTGGACAAAGGAGCCTGGCAGACTGTGGTCCATGGGGTCACAAAGAGTTGGATACGACTGAAGTGACTTAGCACGCATGCATACACGCACCTATGACACCACTGCATGCATTCAGACTTTTTGTTTTAATAGTAACTTTCTTGGAAAGCTGTCAACCTAGTGGTCTGTTCAAAGCAGTAAGCACATGCAGATCGGCTCTAGGGACAGAATTGGCAATCGCTGGCCTTTTGTGTCTTTGAGTGGGGGCAGCTCTAGTCTCCAGCTGATGTCAGAGGAAGGCCATACATGACACATGAGCTGGGAGCCCTTGGGGTCAGGCTTGGTACAGATGTCTCTACTGTGAATTTCTTACAGGGAGTCACCAGGGTGAAGGCTCAGGTTTTCCTTTGGAGAACACAGATGGCAGAATTGAGGTCATATTCTCTCTCCTTTCCCCAGGTTGCCTTTAGAATGATTAAGAATGTTAAAACCATTGTTGTTTATGGGTTATATGTTTACTGTGTATATGGCCCTGTAGTGAGCTGTTTTTGTACATTTTTTCATTTAGTTCTCACACAACATGGTGAGGTAAGTATTATTATTTCTCTTTTGCAGATGAAGAAGCTGAGACTCAGAGAGGTTACACAGATCACACAGAAAGTAAGTGACAGAGGTCTGGTCTGTGTTATTCCATGTGGTGCTTTGCTCTCCACCACTCTCTTAGGCAGACTCCTCCTTCGTCAATGCATAGGTAGGAACATCAGAGGGCTGAACATCAGAGTGATCATTCCTGGAGGCAGGGGCAGAGGTGTGGGGATGGGTGCATAGCCTTAGCTAAGACTCGGAAATCTCAGGCTCCTGTGTGTTTCTCTCCAGAGCAGACAAGATTCAGACTACAAGTGAAATTTGAAGGGAGCTTCTGAGAGCCCTAAAACTCCTGGACCTAAAGGAATGACAGCATTTCTGCTCCCTGGCTGTGTCTGTGGGGGAGAGATATGTGGGTGGGAAGCAGGCCCTGCACGTTTTGAATGAAATCCTGAAGTCAGCCCCCTGCTTCTAGTCCTTTGCTTGGCCATATGGCTGTTGCTAACTCCACTGTACTTTATTCAACTAAATGTATTTAATAGCAGCCATAAAGCCCGTGACACCTTGATTGCAGCGCAGGGTTGCAGTGGATGGCCCAGTCCTGGTGATTGGTGTGGTGATGGAGGCTGCAGGCATGCTTGTCTCACCTGTCTCGAACGCTCAGAAGGCTCTGCATGTATCACCAACATCCATCCTAAAAATGCTGTCAACAGCTATTTCCCCTTTCCCTGAGGATCCTGAAATACTTTGCATGTGTTCCTCCCTCTGAAAGATACAAGCCTGGTGTTATAGTTGATCCCCATTTATGAGATGAATGACCTTAGGAACACAGTGGGAGCTGAACTGTGCCTCCACGCAACAGCCTGCTTTCATAGTTCATGTTTCTCTCCAGAGATATAAGAATATGTAGACATATAGAAGCCATATTTATGGAAACACAGAAGAAAACATTTTGAATATCCACTTTTATCAGCACTGCATTTTTCTACTTCACATGAATCCTTGGGTTCATTTGGATTCTTTACTGAAAACCGCATACCCACGTTAGCTAAAGAAAGAAAATTAAAACCTTTTCAGTCATAAAAATGAGTTGGTTGTCTAAATGTTTTTATCTAAATGTCTTTATCCATATCTTAGCCTGATTTTTCCTGTCCATATATTTTTAAGAAAAATTTGTGCTTCTTCGGCTTGAATTTATTAAAGTCTTATTATGTAGGTGGCTCTAGTGAAGGCTTTGTGGTGGAATACAGGTTTGTGGATATTTTCCCCTCTATAAAAGAGCTTACAATTTAGCTGGGAAGAAACCTGCCTATCCATGGCTATGTCAATAGTCATTGCTTCTATTGTTAGTTGTGACAAATGAGAGAGACAGATGAGTCCTTTAGAACTTCATAGAAAGGAAAAACCTCCGTGAATTGGCTGTTCAGAGATGAGCTCTGGGAGCGGGGGCAGGGAATCATTCATTTATCCATTCAACAAATATTTGTTGCCAGTTTTTGAGCAGCTTGCTGTGGCTAAGGTGATGGGTTAGAAAAGCTCTTTGAAAAAACTCACGGCAGATAAATAAACAGCCCATTATAATCCAAGCCTAGGTGACTGGGAGGGCTTCTCTGGTGCCTCAGCAGTAAAAAAAAAAAAGTCTGCCTGCAATGCAGGAGGCACAGGAGACATGGGTTCGATCCCTGGGTGGGGACAATCCCCTGAAGGAGGGCATGACAACCCACTCCAGTGTTCTTGCCTGGAGAATCCCATGGCCAGAGGAGCCTGGTGGGCTACAGTCCATGGGGTTGCGGAGTCAGACACGACTCAAGTGACTCAGCACATGTGCAGGTGACCAGGAAAGTCTGAGCGGTGTGTGCACTGTGTGAACTTTAGGGGAGAGAATGGAGGCAAGTGGAACTAAGATCCAGCCTCTAGTCTCTGCTCAAGAAGTGCCTGGAAATGTGAATAAAACAGGGAAATTTGCGATGCCTTTTTGCAAATCCTTCCAAGGTGCCATGTGGTGAGTGGCTGCTGTCTTGAGTGTAATTAAATTTTTTTTCTACTTTCAAACTTATTTTAAGATTCACATACAATAAAATCCTTTTGGTATACAGTTTTATGAGTTTTGGAAAATTCATAGAGTCATATAACCACCACCACCACAATCATGGTACAGAACAGTTCCATAATACCTCTAAAAAAAATTCCCTCAGCAGGTCAGTGGTTTCCAGGGTCTGGAGATGAGAGTTGTCTCATCCCCAACCACTAGCAACCACTGAAGTGTTCTCTGATCCTATAGTTTGTCTTTTCCAGAATGGAAATCATATAGAATGTAACCTTTTCAGCCTGGCTTCTTTCACTCAGCACCATGCGTTTGAGAATTATCCATGTTGTTGCATGTACTGATTGTTCCTTTTTATTGCTAAGTAATATTTCAGTGAATGGGTATACCACAGTTTGCTTATCCACTCCTATGCTGAGGGATATTCTGTTGTTTCCAGTTTTCGGCTGTTATGCATAAAGCTGCTATAAACATTTGTATTTTTTTTTTGTGTGTGTGTGTGTGAACATAGGCTTCTATTTCATTTCAGTAATTAGCTAGAAGTAGGATTGCTGGGTTTCATGTTAGGTATATATTTAGCTTCATAGGAAACTAGTTAAGGATGAAAAGCTAAGGTAAAAGCTCCATGACTGTACCAATTTGCATTCCTATTAGCAATGTGTGAGAGTTCCATTATTCTGCATCCTTGTCAGCACATAGCATTGTTAGCTTTTTTTTTTTTAAATTTAGCTGTTCTAATAGTTATATAGTGATGTCACATTGTGGTTTTAACTTGCATTCCTCTAATGACTAATCATGTGAACATCTTTTCATCAGTTTATTTGCCACATATGTTTCTGCTTGGTGAGATATCTTGAAACCTTCACCATTAAAAAATTTTGGGCTTCTTACTTGTTGTTGAGTTTTGATGGTTGTTTACATATTATCCAGGTTATCTTTCCAACCCAGGAATCGAACTGGGGTCTCCTGCGTTGCAGGCAGATTCTTTACCATCCGAGCTACCAGGGAAGCCCTTTTTTTGGCCATGTAGATGTCTAGTTTTTTCAGCATCATTTGTTGAAAAAACTGTCCTCTCTTCATTAAATTGCCTTTGCTTTTTGTTAAAAATCAACTTCCCATGTTTATATGGATCTGGGTTTCTATTGTACATAGAATGGGCAGGAGGGGTTGGAGGCTGGCTGTCCAGGGCATATAACTGTTAAAATGAAGTCCATATAGATTAAGTCAGGAGAAGAGGATGGGCAAGTATTTTTATCTAGAAATGTATTTATTTGGCTGCACTAGGTCTTAGGTACCATCTGCAGGATCTTCACTGTGCATTCAAGATCTTTTAGTTGTGCATTCAGGATCTTTTATTTGTGCACGCAGGATCTTAGTTGAAGCATGTTGGAATCTAGTTCCTGACCAAGCATTGAACCCAGGCCCCCTGCATTGGGAGCGAAGAGTCTTGGCCATTGGACCACCAGGCAAGTCCTGAGGATGGGCAGGCGTTCTAAGTCATTTCAGGCCTTGGGAACATCTTGTGAAAGGCTGGGGGGCAAGGGAGAAGCGGGTGGGACAGTGATAGGATTCACAGTGTGGTTGGAAAGGAGTACTGGAGATGGGCTGGAGACGTTCCGAGCCAGGATCAGGTCAAGGCAGGCATGGATTTGATCCCAGGATAGAGTGGATGTGTTTAATTCAGAAGAGGGCATTAAAGGAGGTCTCGAAGATGAGGGAAAACACCCAATCCGATCCAGCAGTTCTGTCACTCAATCAAGTGCATCTTCCCTATCTCTAAAACAAGGAATCAGGCTTCTCAAAGTAAGCAGACCCCAATTGCAGCTGCCCAGTCACCTCCCAGAGGGAGCAGCTGGCTCAGACCAGGACTGACGCTATCCTATTTATAAGTGCCCTCTGAACTGAAACTGAACTATGCCTCCCTCTTGCCTCTGGGTCTGTAAAGAGGTCTTGGTTTGTCTTAAGTGCACTTCCTGCAAAAGACCTGCAGGTGGTAGCAAAACCAAGGTTCGTTGAGTGGAAGCCGCCCAGTTTTTTCACCTTCAATTCAGAACAGCTCTAATATTGCAGTAATTTGGTGCCTGCATTATAGCAGCCTTGTTTTTAACACCCGCCAGCCCCACCGGAAATAATATTCTCTAAGTCTTTTGGAACCAAATCTGCCCAATAGAGTGTAACGTGTTTCCCAATCATTTGAGCCTCTCCTTGGAAAGGATGTTGGTCTCAGCAGGTTTCTGCCGCGGTGGATCATTGAGAAGATGGTCTGGACCTGGTCTGGTAAGCTGAAGAAATAGCCAAGCACGTGGCAGGAGGTGAAATGAGGACAAAAGCAGGAGACACTGGGTAGGCAGGCAAGTGGGGCAAAAGAGAGGCAGAGAAGGCAGGGTGACAGAGTGGATGCCCACCTGCCCAGCATGCTTGCTGACGTGCACCTCTGCCAGGTAAACCTCTTCCTCAGAGAATACTCATCCCCTCCTGCTCCAGAGTTCTGTGACAGAGACAAAATTTTTCACAAAATGCAACTGTTACTTCCTTGTGGAGGTCATTTCCCCAGCATTCTCCCTCTCCCACTTCTCCCACAGTGCATACTTATTTCCTGGTGCTTTTCACAGTATGTAATTACATAACTGTGTGATAATGTATTTAGCATCTCTCTCCTCTAGCCTGGGGAGCCTGGCGTGCTGCAGTCCATGGGGTCACCAAGAGTCGGACATGACTCAGCGACTGAACCATGACAGTGTCCTCTCCTAGATGGTAAATCCCTTGAAGGCAGGCATAGTCTTGTTTTGCCTCATTCTTTTTTCTACAGGCCTAGTTTAGCTCCTAGCACAGCTATGGCTCAATTATTTATTAATTCCATGATTATATAAACAGAAGAGGAAGTATAATAAAAAGATGGAGATTGATTTTGGTGGAAACCTTATATCTGTCAGGGGCTTCCCTGGTAACTCTGTTGGTAAAGAATCCACCTGCAATGCATAAGACTGGGGCTTGATCTCAGGGTTGGGAAGATCCCCTGGAGAAGGAAATGGCCACTCACTCCAGTATTCTTGCCTGGGAAATCTCATGGAGAGAGGAACCAGTAGGCTACAGTTCATGGTCTCCTGAGAATCGGACAAGACTTAGCAACTAAACCACTACCACCACCCACCTTGTGTTTGTCATTTACATACTCTGTGTGCTTGAATACATTGCTTAAGCTCTCCAAATCCAGTTTTCTCATCTGTAAAGCAGGGAAAATAATGCCTATTTTACAAGGTGGTCATCTATATAAAGTGTGAAAGAAAGTGAAAGTTAATCACTCAGTCATATCCAACTCTTTGTGACCCATGGACTGTAGCCCACCAGGCTCCTCTGTCCAGGGAATTCTCCAGGCAAGAATACTGAAGTGGGTTGCCATTTCCTTCTCCAGGGCATCTTCTGACCCAGGGATTGAACCCAGGTCTCCTGCATTGCAGGCAGACTCTTTACTGATTGAGTTACCAGGGAAGCCTAAAGTGCAGTGCTTAAAACTAAGCACTCAAATGTGATAGTTCTTTTCGTTTTTATGGAGAAACCTTCATATGCAATTTGCTGGGGAGAAACAACATGGATTTGAATTCACAATGCAGTTGGAGAGCTCTTGGAGGTGGTGGTGCTCCTGCTGAAATGAACAACTTGGAAGTCCTAAAACTGTTAAAATGTGTGCTAAGGTGTTGAATGGAAAAATTCTGCTTAGAGTCAGAAGAAAATAACCAGCCAACTGGGTGAAACCATACTCTAGTTTAAAAAAAGAATGTGTTTGGTTCGTTGATATAAGTGTCATGAATGTAAGGCTGAGCAAAATAATCAAAAATTTAATTTCCGACAAGTCGAGTAAGTGTTTGGTGCTGCTATGTGAAAAAGAAGGGTGGTGTGGTTAAAAGAGGCCCCAGATGAGAATGGTGGGAATTGGTGTCCTCTTCCCAAGAAATGCATTCAAATTGCTGCATACATGCTTTATATTACTTTAAACACAGATATTTTACAAGTGCTTTTAAATATTAGGGATACTCATAATAGCTAAGAAGTAGAAATAATCCAAGTGTCTATCAACTAATGAATGGGTAAACAAAATCTGGTGTAGCCACATAATGGGATATTATTCTGGCATAAACAGAATGAAATACTGACACATGCTGTATGTCACTGAATGAAGCTTGAAAATATTATGCTAAGGGAAATAAACCAGACACAAAAAGACAAACATTGGATGATTCCACTTATAAGATGTACTTAGAATAGTCAAACTTATAGAGACAGGAAGTAGGACAATGGTTGCCTATGGCTGGGCATGGGGAATTGGGAGTGAGTGCTGATGGATATGGTTGTCTTTTGTGAGTGGTGAACATATTCTAAAATTAGATTGTGGTGATTGTTTTACAACTCTGTGAATACACTGAATACCATTGCGGCATTCACTTTAAAGCATTCATGTTAAATGCGTGAATTTTATGGTGTGTGGATTTTATCTCAATAAAGATATTAAAACTATTAGGGATAGACCAGTGATTCTTAACTCTGGCTGCCTGTTACAATCACTTGAGGCTAAGAAATACAGATTCTCAGTGTCCTACCTACAACCAATTAAATCAGGATACCTGAGAGACAGGACATGGCCCTGGGCATTTGAGAAGCCTGAACTGTGAATTTCTGAACTGAATGATTGAGGAGTAGATTTTGATTTTTCTACTTAGAAAGGACCGTCTATGGGCAAAGTACTCAATTTTGTTGTTGTTTTTAAAAATCTGTGGGTCTGAAATAATTTCTGTTTAGGTTTTCTTGAAAGCTGAAGAATGGCTGAACTGCATATCCTTACTAGAACCGTTCCCATTTTAGGATTTTGTGATGAAATTCATCTGTTGCGGATGTGATAAAAAGAGACAAGCATTTGTTCTAGTAATGTCTGGAGCTTTAGTACAACTAGAAACATTCTGTTCGTTTAAATTTAGTAAACAGAGGTAATGACACGAGTAATAACATGAACATTTTCATGCCAAAATTGTACTTTCCACTTAGACAAATTAAAATGATTAAGGTCTAGGAAGAAACTTTTGTTTCATTACTGTTGTCATCACTATCAGTATCATGATCAAAAGCAGTTAATTGTCTATTTATTTTCCACCCTGGAGGGGGCAAGTCAGACCTGTCTTGTTAGGCCAGCCACTGGTGTAGATGAATATCCCTGTCAAAATCCTTATGAGAGCTGAACAGAAGCTGTTTGAATTGCAATAACCTTTTAAAGAATGAAGAGGGTCCATTGATATCTTAAATTTTGCAGTGTAAGAAATAGTATTGGACACTTTCAAAATAAACACATTAGAATAGAACATGTCATTCTATTAAATTAGATTTTGAAAGGGCAACTCTAGTAGTATGGAAGTGGGAAGAGATAAAGGAAAATAACATTTCTTGAGCTACCATGAGTCTGACATGAATCATTATGCCTTATACATAGTATATCATTTCATTCTATCCCCAGTCGTCTTTCTGGGTAAGCTTTTTTCTTTTTCTTTTTTTTTTGCTGGTAAGGAAGGGAGTCCAGGGAGGCCACCTATTTAGCTCTAGGCCCCAAGTTTGTGAGTGGAGGTCCTGACCCAGCCACATGTACCTCTGCCAGCCTGTCATTTTGAAGAAAGGCCAGATGGTTTCTGTTTGACAGCTTTGTGTAGGAAAGAGTGCTGAACATTAGAAGACCCACTTTCAAATTCTGTGTGGTCTTGGGCAAGTCACAACCTTTGTGTCCCAGTTTCCCGAGCTAAAATTGAAGGTGAGAGCATTTGTCTTGGGGGATTGTTAAGGGGCAAATGAGTTACTGTACCAAAACACTCAGCATCTTGCTTGGCACAGCTTAGTTGGGACTTTTCAGTTGTCATTCCTGAGACTCTTGAGTTTCTAAGTTGTGGAATAGCTCGCGTGGAAGAGGCAACCTGTGGTGGTAAAACCCCCAGCCTCACTCTATCCACCATCTTTGAAAACCATTTGCACCAGGGTCAGGCCTGAAAGCCCAGGTTGGAGAAGGCTCCCATCGGGTTCTGTCAGTCTGGGTAGCTGTTTTGGTTTTTAAGGGAATTATTTCCTTCCTCGAGTTCTTTCAGAAATCCATTAGTCTATAAACCAAGAAGAATATATTAAGTATCTGCATGGGCTTCCGTGATGGCTCAGTGATGAAGAATCTGCCTGCTAATGCAGAAGACATGGGTTTGATCCCTGGGTCAGGAAGATCCCCTGGAGAAGGAAATGGTAACCCACTCCAGAATTCTTGCCTGGGGAATCTCATGGATGGAGGAACCTGGCAGGATACAGTCCTTGGGATTGCAAGAGTTGGACATGACTGAGTGACTAAACAGTAAGAACAACCTATGCTAGGTGCTCTGGGGATTATCTCTGTCTTTAAGGAATTTAAAATGTAGTTGCAGAAGGCAAAGAAATGTATGTGCACAAACGTACTAAACTAGATGGCATTGATGAATAGAAATAACTTACTCACATAGTGAAAATTTGCTGAAGGACGTATAGTGAGAAGTAAGTGCACCTTCCACTCATGCCTTTCTCACTGTGGTTGTCTTTCCCTCTAATCAGTTTCTTCATACTTTCTGGAGAGATTTTTCTTTTTTCTGTACACAAATGTATAGGTACATGCAGCAGCTTCCCTTTTATCAAATGAGACCTACTATAATGCTGTTCTGCAGTTTGCTTTTTAAAATTCATAACAGATCTCAGATAGTGTGCTGTATCAGTACATATTGATCTCCCTCATCCTCTCTAATGGAATCCCTTTGTGTGAATGCACCACATTTTATTTAATAGCTCCTTATCAATGGTCTCTTAGGTTGTTTCCAGGCTTTTGCTACCTGAACAATGCTGCAATAAATTCTCCTGACAAAGAGCCATAATTAAGGGCTAAATTGTGTGGTTCAGACTGTAAGTGATTCTCATTTCACAGTGTGTGTGCTAATGGCATTTTGGGTGGGACAGTCTTTTTGCCGTGAAGAACTGTCTTGCCCACTGCGTGATTTTTGGCATTTCTCCTCCCTCCCTGCTCCCTCCAGCCAAGTTCAAGTACGTTCCCACTGCAACAACCAAAAATGCCCGCCCCTTCACTTTTCTAAGTGCCCTATGAGAGATAATGTTGCTTAGATGGAAACTGTAGCAAATAAAGGGAGTTGGAAGCCTAAGGAAGGAGGAGAGGAAGGGGCTCCTGAGCAGGACTTTGAAGATTGGCACAGGCTTTGGGAAAGTGAGAAACACCAGAGGCAGAGTCACTGCACTCTGAGCTTCCTTCTCTTTCTGCACCTACTTGCTTACTCCCAGAGAGAGAGTGCAGTGTCTGTAAAGCTGATTGCCCTGCTATGTGGTCCACAGCCTCTAGTCTGGGTCCTGCAAGCACTCCTGCATCTTCGCTTCAGCTTCTTCCTCCAGCCTCTCACATTGGCCCCAGGTCTGCAGAAGCCTCCGCTCATAGGAGTGCAAGTGCTAGCCCAGTGACCGTTGGCCAATGGAACACGGAAGAGCATGACATAGCCGGATGGAACTGCCAACCAGGCTGAGGACAGATTTACTCAAAGCTTGAATTTTCACTCTGCTGTTTCTGTCAGTGAATCATAAACTTTTAGGAAGTCAAAGCTGGAAGGGACTTAAAAGCAGTCATCTAGACCTCTGTCCATATCCTTGGGTTCCACATCATACTTAACCAACTCCAGATTGTAAATATTTGAGGAAAAGATTTCAGAAAGTTCCAAGAAGCACTGGCAACTATTTCCATAGCTTTTGCATTGTATTAGATATAAGTAATTTGGAGATGATTTAAAAGTATATGGGAGGATGTGTGTAGGTTAAGGGCTTCCCAGCTGGCTAAGTGGTAATCTGCCTGCTAATGCAGGAGATGCAAAAGATGCAGGTTCAATCCCTGGATCTGGAAAATCCCTTGGAGGAGGAAATGGCAACCACTCCAGTATTCTTGCTTGGGAAATCCCATGGATAGAGGAGCCTGGTAGGTTACAGTCCATAAGGTAGCAAATAATTGGACATGCACACATTCACATGTAGCTTATATGTAAATAATATGCCATTTTACATAAGGACTTAAGCATCTGTGAATTTTAGTGGTGATTCTGAAACCAGTCCCTGTGTATACTGAGGGATGACTGTATGCATCAGTTTGATGCAAGAAGCAACAGTGCAAAAGGAAGAAATGTTAATGCTGATAAGGGGTGTTATGGACTAGTGAAACCACTAGGTGTTGTTTCAGGGGACTCTGAGGAGCTCTGGTTCTTTATGTCTCAGTGCAGAAAGAATTCACTGAGAGGCAAAACAATATGTAAGAAGTGATTTATTAGAATAGAACGTTTGTGAGGCTTACAGGCAGATGGGAGAGAGGGTGCCTTGCCCCAAGAACTTGATTTTATAATCAAGAGAAAAGTGGGGAGGGGAAAAAGACCACCGTCTTCCTCATTCTTAATTAGGTATCTTCCATCATCAGTTCCTGCTCCATGTTGGGCAGGGTAGTTTTTTGTCCCTACATAGTCAAGCTGGACTGTCATGGCACAGTGGAAATAGGCAAAAAAGGCAGTAACATATGCTAAAAATGGTAAATCATATCAGGTTTTAGTTTAATGTTGCCTTTTCTTTATATTTTTCTTACTAGTATGTGCAGAGGAGTGTGTCTTAGGAATCACTCACTTACTGAGTTCACTGGGCAGGATGTTTGTTTCATTCCACCATTGTTTTCTTGTTTGGGTGCATGTCTCATGCTTCTATTGCATGGTTTTGTTGCTAAGCAAGCTTGCTTGGTTTTGTGGTTAAGTAAACCTACTTTTGTGAGTAGTTATTAACCTGTACGTTTTTCTCTACTTAAAATCCCCTACTGAAATTAGCTATTTAATTACCTACTTTGTCCCTTTACTCTTTCCCTATCACTAAGGGAGGAGCATAGAGATAGCTGACTGTGATGACTGTATGCAAAGGAAAAAATGATCAAAATCAGTGAGTTTTATATCAGAATTACTTGGAAAAGTTATAAAAAGAAAAACAAATGCAGATTCTCAGCTTCATTGCAAAAAAGAAAAGACTGCTAGGACCAGGGTTTCAAGATCTGTATTTTAATTATAATACTCAGGTGATTCTGGTAGTGGCTAGACAATCAAGCTTGGGAAACTCTGATTTCAATAGAATCCAATTAAATAATTCCCACATCACAAATACAAGTGTTAAGAGGAGCCTGGAGAGTTGCTTTGCTGGCTATTTGCCCTATTAGTAAAGGGAGTAGAAGATAATATGCTAGGTGGTTAATTACATTGGCATTTATTCATTCTGAAATGTTTACAAAAGTAATTAGAAGTCAGATTAGGTTTGATGCTCCCTGACCTTTAAGGAAGGGCTTGACTTCAAACAACCAACCAAAAGGTTAAAAAAAAAAAAAACAAAAAGAAAAAAGAAAAAAAAAAGAAATGCTTATTTCAAAGGTTAATCAGAGCAAAACACAGCATGATTAGCAGGGATCTCTGTCTTGCAAAAAGGATGTTTTATTTCGCATTAAGGTTGAGAGTTCGGAAATGGAAGATCATCACTTCAGGTTGTTTTTCTGTATTTAGAATGTGAAGGCAAACTTCTTAGAAATAAGAATCCTTTTAAGTATGAGCCTTGTTTTATACTGGTCTCAGCCTATCAATAACCAATGTTGTATTTGGATCAGCACTTGTGGTTCTTACTATGATTGCAAGATGCCCTTCAGCTATAACCATCAGGGAGCTTTGAAAAAAAAATAAAGGTTTATTACTTACAAGACCTGGAAATTACACAGTGCACCTGGGGCCACACAGTGTGGTTATGGGCAGAGAGAGAGTGCCTGGGCCTTGGTTCTGCTCTTATTGGCGTCAAAGACGGGGGCCTAGGGTTTCTCAGGCTCACTCTTTCTTGAATTTAAAACATAAAGAGTGGAAATTTAAAGCATGGGAAGAGAAAAAAATAAAAAAAAGAAACAAGTAGCCTAAATGGTCTGTTATTGAAAGCAACTGAGATCTCTAAGACAAAGAAGCCGAGATCTCTTAAGTACAGGGAGAATCTTCATCTGTCATGTGGCTAGCAATGTATTTATTTGAGATAGCTGTCTTTGAAGTGGAAGCCTCTTTGAAATGGATGCCTTGGCAATCAAAATTTATCAGGTGCTTAAATTACAGAAAAGAAAGAAAAAAAATCAGGATTTCCACTACAATCCATCCTGTGGTGCTGAGGCATCAGAGTCCGTGATGAGGACATGAAATACCTGGGAAGCTGATATGCTGAAAGTCAGGAGTAAGGCATGATGTAACCCCGAAAGTACACATCTACATAAGAGTATACGTGCAAATTCTATAATAATTATACCAGCAATAGTTTGAAATCTGGAATTCCATGGTAGTTCAGCTGGTAAAGAATCCTCTGGCAATGCAGGAGATGCTGGTTCGATTCCTGGGTCAGGAAGATCCGCTGGAGAAGGGATAGACTACCCACTCTAGAATCCTTGGGCTTCCCTGGGGGCTCAGCTGGTAAAGAATTGGCCTGCAGTGCGGGAAACCTGGGTTCGATCTTTTGGTTGGGAAGATCCCTTGGAGAAAGGATCTTTCACTCCAACGGTAGTGAAAGGCTACCCACTCCAGTATTCTGGCCTGGAGAATTCCCATGGACTGTATAGTCTATGGGGTTGCAAAGAGTTGGACACAACTGAGTGACTTTCACCTTCACTTTGAAATCGAGTTTGTACCCATTGTCACAAACTTGAAAAGGACCAGCCCTGGAACTTAAGTCAATCATCTCAGGTACCTGGAACTGGAAAAGGTCAGTTTTCATTCTAATCTAAAAGAAGGGCAATGCTAAAGAATGTTCAAACTACTGCACAATTTCATCTCACATGCTAGCAAGGTAATGCTCAAAATCCTCCAAGCTAGACTACAGTATGTGAACTGAAACTTCCAGATGTACAAGCTGGATTTAGAAAAGGCACAGGAACCAGAGATCAAATTGCCAACATCAGCTGGACCATAGAAAAAGCAAGAGAATTCCAAATGAACATCTACTTCTGCTTCATTGACTACACTAAACCCTTTGAGTGTGTAGATTGCAACAAACTGGAAAATTCTTAAAGACATGGGAATACCAGACCATCCTACCTGGCTCCTGAGAAGTCTGTACTCAGGTCAAGAAGCAACAGATAGAACTGGACATGGAACAATGGACTAGTTGAAATTGGGAAAGGAGTACGTCAAGGCTGTATACTGTCACCCTGCTTATTTAACTTATATGCAGAGTACATCTTGTGAAATACTGGGCTGGATGACTCAGAAAATGAAATCAAAATTGCTGGGAGAAATATCAATAACCTCAGATATGCAGATGACACCACCCTAATGGCAGAAAGTGAAGAGAAACTAAAGAACCTCTTGATGAAGGTAAAAGAGGAGAGTGAAAAAGCTGGCTTAAAACTCAACATTCAGAAAACTAAGATCGTGGCATCACCGACTCGATGGACATGAGTTTGGGTAGACTCCAGGAGTTTGTGATAGGCAGGGAGGCATGGCATGCTGCAATTCATGGGGTCGCAAAGAGTCAGACACGACTGAGTGACTGAACTGAACTGAACTGAACTGAAGTAAAGATCATGGCATCTGGTCCCATTACTTCCTGGTAAATAGATGGGGAAACAATGGAAACAGTGACAGACTTTATTTTCTTGGGCTTCAAAATTGCTGCAGATGGTGATTGCAGCCATGAAATTACAAGATGCTTGCTCCTTGGAAGAAAAGCTATGACAAACCTAGAGAGTGTATTAAAAAGCAGAGACATTACTTTGCAGACAAAGATCCGCCTAGCCAAAGCTATGGTTTTTCCAGTAGTCATATATGGATGTGAGAGCTGGACAATAGAAAAGGCTGAGTGCCAAAGAAATGATGCTTTTGAACTGTGGTGCTGGAGAAGATTCTTGAGAGTCCTTTGGACAGCAAGGAGATCAAATGAGTCAGTCCTAAAGGAAATCAACCCTGAATAGTCACTGGAAGGACTGATGCTGAAGTTGAAGCTCCAGTACTTTGGCCACCTAATGCGAAAAGCTGACTCATGTGAAAAGACCCTGATGCTGGGAAAGATTGAAGGCAGGAGGAGAAGGGGTCTACAGAGAATGAGATGGTTGGATGGCATCAATGACTCAATGGACATGAGTTTGAGCAAACTCTGGGAGATGGTGAAGGACAGGAAGCCTGGCCTGCTACAGTCCATGGGGTCCAAAAGAGTCGGGCACGACTAAGTGACTGAACAGCAATAACAGCAACATAGGAGTCTGTTCAAAGATTTAGGTAATACTGTGGAAAAACTTATCATCATGGGCCATCTGGGAATTAAGTAGGTTTGAACCTGTTTTGTGTTGGCGGATTGCTTCACACATCTTGAACCAGTCTCTTAGTCCTAAGACTAGGTCAGTTCAGTTAAAGTCTGTA